GTAATTCCCAATAATAACATCAATCCTAACAGTACAAGCACCAACCCGGACTCCAGACCTGGTTTTGCTGTCCTGCCCTACATCAAGGAACTGACCCCTAAGCTGATCAGATTGTGCAGTCCTTTGAACTTTCGAATTGCTTGCAAATCCGTCCTCACTATAAACTGAATTTTTTCAAAAATGAAAGACAAAGTCCCGCTGCTTGGCTTAACCAACACAGTCTACTCCATCAATTGCAACAACTGCAACCAAATATACATAGGTCAGACCTCCAGATCTCTGAAAGGAAGGATTACATCACACAAAAGTGATGCTAGGCTTCATCCTGAAAGATGCGCTCTAGCATCTCATGTTAACACAACAGGGCATTCTATGAATTACACAAGTATCAAAGTTCTTGATGAAGAAAAACACCTTTCCAAACGTTTATTCCTGGAAATGTCCCACATTTTCATGAATAACAACTGTATCAACAAAAAGACAGATGTTAAACAACTGAGTGTCATTTACTCATATTTGCTAAACTGCGAAAAATTGGAGAACTTACATATCTCCCCAAATTTCAACTCTTCACAACCATAATTAGAATCTGTGTTTTGGCCGATTCCACCAGTAAATTTCATTCCACTCAAAATATAATAATTCTCTCCTCACGATTTATTAATAATTGTTAATTTAAATTCCCATTAATAATAATATAGTTTATTCAACTGCCTCTGGTCGGTTTAACAAATTCTAACATAAAATTCTGAAAATCTCATCATCTGAAGTGATTTGGCAACGTTTTGGCACACGCCCACAATTCGTTCCATCTTTCAATACTGACATTGACATCCTTCGGCCTTCTGTCAAAGGGTTTCATGTCACTCATCATTCCATGACCACTAATTTGTGCAATCATCAAGTGGCTTCACGATGTAATGCTTTAATTTTTTAAATAATTTTTAATCTGTTTTTAACTTGTTCTTGTCATATTTTATATAAGTTTGACTACTGTACAATCTATCCAGCTCTCACCATGTTACTGGACGTTTCCCTCATCCTATACGTAAACAACAATTAGCAACATCCTCACATACTACTGTAAGTTGAGTCAATTTAAATTCATTTTACACCTTTGTTGCTACTGTTATCATTGTAATTGCAGCTCCTGATGATGATGGCAAAGTCCATTGAAAGCTAGAGAGAATTAAAAAAAGTATAAAGAGTCCTCTTTGCTTAAATTTTGTCGAAGTACCCAACAAAAGGCGGAAGCTTTAATTTTTCACACATATATATATATATGGAACTCAGTCCGCGAATCGGAGGCCCAGTCATCACGTGACTGCTAGATGACGACGATTCTAGCTGTGTAGTAGATGTGGTCTACTTGCCACTGGACATTAAACCGCATTATACCTTTCTACGAAAAATTATATTTCCATCGATCAACATGGTTTCATGAGGCAGCGTTCAATCTTAAAAACGCTGTGATGTACACCGATTTCCCCAAAGCCTTTGATAAGGTCAATCACAGCATTTTGATTCAAAATCTTTTGAACGTGGGCTTCAACAACACTTACTTTTAAAATCGTATCGATTTCAAAGGAAACAGTATTGTCTTTTATAATGGCTACATATCACATGCTTATGCCTCAACCAGTGATGTTCTACATGGTTCGAATTTGGGACCATTGTTGTTCATATTATTCGATAATGATCTGTGTGAATCTTTGGATTGTTCTAAAGTGATGTTTGCAGATGCCCTGAAATTCTATTCATCCGTTTCAGCTTGAAAGACTATATTTATTCAAGGTCAGATGGATTTACTACAAAGCTGGTGCGTCAAGAGTTCGTCTTAATGAAACTTTTTATAGAAATACCAATGCTTTGTTATACAAATATACAATGGATGAAAGTGTCCTTCAGCGTAGCGAGACTGATAAAGATTTAGTCACATATTTCGATCAACAACTAACTTTCAATGAACATATTAATCAAATTATTACAAGCGCTTTCAAAACCTATGACTTCGATAACGTGAATTGTAAAAATTCCAACGCTTGTACCTTACAGAATTCATACTTTAGCTTCGTTAGGTCTAAACTCGAATATGAATCTCTGATATGGATTTTCAAAGTTGAGTAATTTATTTTAACTGCTATATGAAAGTTGCGTAATAAAAGAATCCGTAAAAGATTAAAAAAATTTGAAAATAAGAATGTTATTACATAGATTTTTTGATATTCTCGACCTCTGCCGTGTAAAATCGTTTTTTGTTTACCACCCTTATCGTTTATCTAAATTTGGCAAAGTCTTTGTGATATTGTTACAGTTCTACCAGTCTTTTAATAGTGCGTATACTTCCATCAATCTATTTTTTTTTCGAAAAAATGGCTCATGTTTACCAAAACAATGAACTAGTGGGCTTAATACTAACATTCGGAGAGTACCAACAAAATGCAGCTGCAGCATGCAGTTTGTATGTGGAAAGAAATCGGCCAGCCCCACGGATGTCTGTAAATTTAGTTATTAGACTTCGTGACACAGGATATTTACAAGAACAACGAGGAGGTCACGCTGGAAGACCTACTCAACCTGAAATGTTACAAATAGAGGAAGACATTTTAGAAATAGTCGAAGAACGACCTAACCATAAGTACTAGAGCCATAGCCGCTCAAGTTGAAGTTTCTCATAGTAAGATGTGGAAGACAATACATTAAGAACAGTATTATCCTTATCATTATCAAAGGATACTAGCGTTACAACCTGAAGATCATCCTAGAAGAGTTGCATTTTGCCAGTGGCTTTTAGAACAGTTCGGCAGAAATTAAGATTTTACGAAATTAATTTTGTGTACAGACGAGGCTACATTTACACGAAATGGAGTGTACAATTTCCACAACAATCATGTTTGGGCAGTAGAAAATCCGCATGATGTAAAAAGAACTGGTTTTAAACGTAGATTTTCATTATATTTTTGGGCTGGTGTGACAGATAGCATGCTTATTGGACCCTACTTTTGTCCACCTCGACTGACCGGTGAAATCTATTTAGATTTTCTTCGACACAATCTGTCACAATCATGAGATGTTCCTCTGAATGTGAGACAATATTTGGTTCCTACATGACGGGGCTCCACCACATTTTAGACGAGAAGTTCATGAACACCCAAATAATGTTGCGTTAATTGAACAAATGGGGACAATTTTAAACAGTTTTTGTAAAGACGGTATCTGTTTAAATTAATAATGATTGTTTTAAATATTTTTTAATAATGCAAACAACTCTCTCATTATGCAAATTTTATATATATATATATATATATATATATATATATATTATTTTATATGAGTTTTGGTATATCAACTTCTTCTACAAGCTGTTAAAATACATGACTCAACGCCCTGTATATATTGATGCTGTTGATAAACTTCAAAAGTAATTCTTAAAATCCTTGTGTTTCAAGATTGATGCTATATATTCTACTAGACGTACAGAATATCACACACCCTCCTTTATAGATTTGGGTTCCAATCCTTAGAACAGCGGGGTAAGTAATCAGCAATTCTAGTTTTCTATAGACTGTTACATAATCTAATAGTGCCACAATGCTTTCACAAATACAGTTTCTGGTGCCACAACTAGATACAGTATAATGTTCCCTTTTTATGCCAAAGAGTTCAAACGAACTTATTGTTCAAAGCGCCTGTTAATATGATGTGTGTGAATGCTAATAAAATAACCGACGTAACGACATACTTAGCTTAGACGAATTTTTTTGAATTAATTCACAAAAATTGTATTTGCTCTTTTACAAAATACCACATGGTTATTTCTTTTCCTTTTTATAATAGATTGTAAATGGTGTTAAGCTGTTGGGCAATAAAGGCTTATTATTATTAGTATTACTATTGTTATTATTTCTTTAGAATAAATAGGCTCTGCTTTCGTCCGTCCGACCAAGGACAGCCTACCATGGACAGCTGTATCGTGCTTTTTGGCCACTCCTCAACATGCTTTAGGCTTGGATCTCTTGGATAACCAATGAAAGCTAATCACCTATACACTATACAAAGTACGTGATCTATCAAAGCAGGCCATGTTTATTATAGATAAACAATTTTACGTCAAGAGATTTTACTTTTTGTACTACGTATACTTGTGTCTGCCGTGTGCCATGTGCGCACCGTGCTAGATACTGAATTTCATTTAGTTGCTCTACTTTCCTGAATATTTCAGAATTACCCCCGGGGTTGAAATGTTGTCGCTATAATGGAATCCAAGACGGTAAATTGGAAACAACTTCGCACTCAGACTCACGGTCGTCTTTATCTCTGCTAACATGTGGAATTATGATATGAAGCCTACGTTTAGCTTGTACGTTTCATAGCTTATTCAAGTGATCAAGAGTTTTTGCAATAGAGAATACTGTTTTAGCTAAATGACAATTTCGATAGAGGTGTAAGTTGATTTTACAGCGAAGCAGCCGCGCTGGTAGAAGCCTAAATGTCATACCATCGTGGCTGCTATGAGGAGCTTAAAGAAACTAAGTTAATCCAATTTTTGAACTGTCCAAGGTTAGTAGAGCTCCTCATGTAGATTGTTCCACAATCTTGATGCCCAGGGGCAAAGGAGCGGTCGTATCGGCCAGTTCTGGAAGAGAGCTAGATCGATGATGGCTTGCCGGTGCAAAAGGGTCCTGAGGTCCATTAGAGAAGAGTCATCAAGGCTAAGTCTGGTCTGTACAGAGTGAGGTGGTCATGTGGAGAAGAGTACTTCTTAGCGCTAAATAAATAGTGGATGTGTCTTAACTAGCTTTTGAACGACTGGCTTAACGAGTTGTGCTTCTAAAAAGTCGAATTGCTGAAAACAGGCAAGCTGATCCTGTCTTTAGCAAACGTATATAATGAATCTAATCATAATGCCAGTACAACGTGAAAGCTAAGGCTTTACCGTTCCGTTACCTACTTCCATGTAAACAAAAATACGTTCGTAAATCCATAAAAAAATCATTTATTTTGTAGATGCAAATAAGAAATTTGGGCATATGCAATTTAGGAGTCTGATGAAGAGAAACACACTGGGACACACTGTATACGGCCCATCCTATTGCTGGATAAAATCGTATTTACATAACAGGTCTCAGTATGTGTGCATATCCAACAGTAATCTTGGCAGGCCTTTAGGCGTTCCTCAGGGATCTATTTTGGGGCCAGTGTTCTTCTCCTTATACAACAACGATTTAGAACATTGCTCTCGTGAAGCTAGATTCACCCTTTATGCGGATGATTCTTCTGTTGTTATATCGAATCAATGCGACACTACATTGAAGAGGAACTGTGAGCATTTATTTGAAGATTTTCATAGGTGATTTGGCAGCAATCAATCGTATTTGAACTTAGAAAAAACATCGCTTGTGAGGTTCCATAACGTCTAGAAAAAAAAAACAGAAAAATGTAATATCAATGTAGCTAGCTAAAAGATACAACTTGGAACACAAGTAAAGTTTTCGATGCAAGCCTGAATACCAAAGAGCACTTTGAGAATCTAGTCTCAAAAATCAATTCCCAAATCTGTCATCAGAAATTTAAAAACAGTACTAACGGAGAGCCGGTTAGCTGCTTTTTATTATATTGCGATACGATTTTTGTTTCTGGGGCTTGTCAACTAACGCTCAGCAGGTATCTTTGAGCAAAAAAATAGCAATTAGATGTATTGTGGGTGTCAATAGCTCATATTCGTGTAAGGAGATAACTAAAAATTTTAACGCTACCCCTCATTGTTTTTATACGAACTATCTGTGTATGTTTTTAATAATAGCGATAAATTTAGAACATATAACAAGCTACCAAAAGACACTAAGGAATGCTCCAGGATTATTCAGCTAATTTGAAAGAATTCCTTATATCTAAATGTTATGCCGTCTCAGAATTTGTTTGTCTATAATTTTTATGCTGTTTGTTTTATACATTTTGATTTATTACTTATTTTTAGTCATATACGTTGACGAATCCTATGCATGTATTTCATTGCCAGAGGATAATAAATAATTTGAATTTGAAATAGCCATATCATAGAGGTGACGACAGAAATAACAAGTCGTCGTTCAGAGGCCGCCGCCATATTGGATCTAGAATGACATCAGTTTGCTTATTATGTTTCCTTTCATTTGATACCCATTGCATGAGGCTGATTATGGTAATTATAAATCGTCATTATGCGATGGCTGCCATATTGGATTTCGAATGACATTGCGTTGCTTGTAATATTTTCCCATGAAGCCCTTTTATTTGATACCTTTATCATAGGTGATCATTACAAACGCCATCTTGGGTCGGTCGCCATATCGGCTTTGGAATGGCATCACTTTGCTTATTGCGCTTCTCTCATAAAGCCCTTTCATTTGATACGCATAACATAAACATTACTACGGAAATGATGAGTCGCCATTTTGTAGCATCCGCCATATTGGATTCAAAATCGTTGCAGTTAATTAATTTCAATTGTCACATAAATCAAACGGGTATGCAATATTTCAGCTCAACTGGTTATGATTAACTGATTAAAAATTCAGTTCCAAGATTTGCCCTACACATATATACATACTCGAACATACTAACAAACAGGACACGTTAAATAAAAGCTTGTAAAAATATAAGAAACCCAACTGTAGTAACTGAAAATAATGACGTCTTGATTGTGCTGTCAAGGCGAACTTAAGGACACCTCAAATGTCAAAATACTTCAAGCCGTTTGGGCCTGTGAAATAGAAATTTCAAAGTTTAAGTTTTTTTGCCTTTATGAACTCGCAGTGATGTAGTGACGTATAGACACCTCATATGACCAAATCTAGCAAACTATTTAAGCTGTGACGTGGAATTTTTTATTGAATTCCGTCATATTGTTTTTATAAAATTTTAATATAGACGGTGTCACTCACACTGCTAAGACCACCATGACAACACCTCATATCTTAAAATCCATGAAGCTGTTTAAGCTGTAACCCTTGAAATAAGAATTTCAAGGTTGGCTTTTTTTATCAATATCTGCCAAATCGTTTTTATAAAATTTTAATATTCCCAGTGTCACTGGCAAGATGACCCCAGCAACACATCATATATGTCAGTAAGACGTTTAAGCTATGGCCTGTGAAATAGGAATTGCAAGGTTGAACTTTTTTCATTAAAATCCACCATTTCTTTATAATATTTTAACATACAATCCAACAACACCTTATATATCAAAATACACCAAGCCATTTGGTCAGTAGCCCGTGAAATAGAAGTTTTTGGAGACATACATACCCACGCGCGAAAAGCATATCCCTCCTTCTGAGGCAGTCGGGTGGAAATCCTGGACATGAGTCGTACTACAACGATTCATTGATACTGCTGGAGACAATCAATAATCGTATAAAAGATTATTTGCAAAGAGTTTCTGATAGGCTTAAGGCATCAGTACAGTGTTCGTGGGAGAATGATTTGTTGATATTGTTGGGGAAAATCAATACTCGGTGGCTGGTGTCGGAGCCGGTGCCGTTTGCTCTTGTTTCAGCAGCCGTCTCTCCCAGGTTCTTCAGACTAGCATAAAGCATTAGACGCATCCTAGTCCTCCCAGAATTGCATTAATCAACATCCAGCTTTATAAATCGCCTGGAATTTAAAATTATATGCGTTAATGAAGCTTTTCTCCGCGCTACTGGCTGTAATGGAGGCTGCGCTCTGAGTCGCGTGTTCTTCAGCGACAGAGAGCAGGACCGCATCAAGTAGTATTGTCCACAACAAACATAATGCACTTGTGTTTGGGTTTGTTAAAACTAAAAGTTCACTGAATGGCACAGTATAAAGACTATACTGAGTGACAAAAAAGGTAAACACCTACGTATGTTTATCAGATTTTGATAATTTTTGACATACATGTACAGTGTCCCTTACTAGTAAAATGATTGAATGTTCAGCTTGATTCGTCGATTGACTACAGAAGCTGGTTCAATAAGGTGTTGAGGATACACGATTTCTTAGCTTAATTGCAGCTCTTTTGTCAGAAATTTTCTGACGAATGTCTGCAGGGTGAAGCATCATGATGTTTATGCAACACGTATAACTACAAAACGACTTCACAACAAGTCTCCATCAGCTAGTACTAAGTTAACTTCTTGCAGAAAAACTAACATAATGTCACAAAACAACAATATATTGTCAAATCGATACAATGTCATTTTTCAAGATACGTAATACCAGTGCGGGTAGGTTGCGATTCACAGTTTCGCAATGATCGATAAAACCCTTTATATTCGAACTTTTAAGTTCTATAGGGCAGTGCTTCCTAAAATGGTCCAGGAGGGCCCCACGGGACACTCAACGGGGGCCTACCTTGGCGTGAAAATAAAGGGGATTCCCAAGTTGTGAGTTGGGTTTTAGGAAAATTTGTCTCTTTTTGATAGTAAGAAATAAAATGGTTGAATTGTCCTCATTGACACGCCTGAGCATCGTGCTGATAAGGTGGTCGATATCCTGTTGGAGTATCTCATTCTAGGCTACTGCAACTTCGTGAGTAAGAGCTGCTAAAGTCAGTGGATGGTGTCGCAAATTCAAGAGCCTGCGACCTATCATATCCCAGACATGTTCATTGGAGATAGGTCAGGCGATCGTGGTGACCAAGGTAAACGGTTGATGCGATGTTGATCCATGAAGGCTAACGATGCTCTGACAACATATGGTCTGGCACTCCTAGAAACTCCTCTTATCCATAGACCGACTTCACGCAACACGACAATTCGACCCCTCTCAAAGTCACTTAGCTCGGACACTCGGCGAATTCTACGCACTCTAGGCATTTTGAGCAATCACAAAAAGGCTTCTTAATAAGCTACACGAAATTTAACATTTAAGTGACATCGTAAGTAGATATGAGGTTACCTTGTACGCTCCCCTCCACTTCCACTTCGGCCACGCCCACCGCGTGCTCTGATTGGTGGATCAGACGGCGGTAAATTTGAACGGGGGGTTGATGGTATATGTTGATTGGTGGACGGCGGGGGTCGGGTGCGTTGGTAATCAACTACGTCGCAAATAAGGTTTGGTAGATAGTCGTTCAGCGCAAGTGTTGTCGAAGCGATGATATGCAAGAAGTACACCGCGCGGGGCTGTCAAGCATGGGTGAATGGGGGGAGCACAGGCTGCGAGGATGACGTCATGCGTCATTGATGGGTTGTGCTTCTCGCCGCTAGATGGCGCTGCACACGCGTCATGTATCATTGATGAGTTGGGTTGATCTCACCGCTAGATGGCGCCGATTTGTTGTCGCACCTGTCTGCAGGATGGTGCGACAACCGCGTACCGACGGGCCGATGAACCGACGGTATATCGTTAGATCGAGGCAAGCTCCATTCACATGGCAAGTTTGTGTGGGGGCCGCTCATGGGGGAGGCGGGGACACGGACCTTATCGTATATGGCAAGACGTGTCCTAAAAATGGCGCTAGCCCCACTGGTCGCAGCGAAGTACAGGTCGGTCAGACAGAATTTATTTGTAACCTTTATACAGGGTGCTCTGATTGGTGGATCAGACGGCGGTAAATTTGAACGGGGGCTTGATGGTATATGTTGATTGGTGGACGGCGGGGGTCGGGTGCGTTGGTAATCACCTAAGTCGCAAATAAGGTTAGATAGATAGTCGTTCAGCGCAGGTGTTGTCGCAGCGATGATATGCAAGAAGTACACCGCGGGGCTGTCAAGCATGGGTGAATGGGGGGAGCGCAGGCTGCGAGGATGACGTCATGCGTCATTGATGGGTTGTGCTTCTCGCCGCTAGATGGCGTTGCACACGCGTCATGTATCATTGATGAGTTGGGTTGATCTCACCGCTAGATGGCGCCGATTTGTTGTCGCACCTGTCTGCAGGATGGTGCGACAACCGCGTACCGACGGGCCGATGAACCGACGGTATATCGTTAGATCGAGGCAAGCTCCATTCACATGGCAAGTTTGTGTGGGGGCCGCTCATGGGGGAGGGGGGGACACGGACCTTATCGTATATGGCAAGACGTGTCCTAAAAATGGCGCAGCGAAGTACAGGTCGGTCAGACAGAATTTATTTGTAACCTTTATACAGGGTGTTCTGATTGGTCGATCAGACGGTGGTAAATTTGAACGGAGGGTTGATGGTATATGTTGATTGGTGGACGGCGGGGGTCGGGTGCGTTGGTAATCACCTAAGCCGCAAATAAGGTTAGGTAGATAGTCGTTCAGCGCAGGTGTTGTCGCAGCGATGATATGCAAGAAGTACACCGCGGAGCTGTCAAGCATGGGTGAATGGCGGGAGCGCAGGCTGTCAACGAGTTAATACTGGCCAACGATAACAGCGGTGACCTGGAACCCTGTTGTCACGCGGTTGCAATAGATGATAGGTTATCTCTCAATTTTCGTAAACAACGATTTTTCTAAAGTGGTAAAAACGACGTTATTTGAATCACAAAACATATACACTGATTTGAATAACAGCTGAATATCTCCTGATATTTTAAAACTAACCATATCGACAAGTGACACATAATTCTGTGGGATCCGTCAACACTTCGTCCCAGTGGTAGTGGTGTTAGTTATCGTTACTTTCGAGTACTCGTTAATAATCGTTACTCTTCTACAAAGTAATCGTTTATTGTATTCGTTACTTTGATTACTATGAGTAGTATGAGTATAACGATTTGTCAATGTGCGTCGTGTGATTAATGTCGAATTTAAACAAGTTGAATGGAACCGAATCTTGTAAGAAAATAGACGACCTTAAAATTTGCAAAATGTTATAAGCATAGTTTATTCAAGACTATTGAGTTTAATGCAAACATTGTATCTTCAAACTGTATGCTTATCGAGATGAGTTATCATAGGATGGAGTGTCATATGACTCATATGAGCCTACAAACTGAAAATACTTTGTATTAATTAGAAATACTTAAAAAACATGTCTTTTAGTCAGAAAGATGATCTGTATATGGGCTTAAGGAAATTCGAAATGGCATGTAAGCATAATATACCAGTATAAAAAATTCTACGTTGAGCTTGGTCTACACATACTATTGGTGGTCATACTGAATTATATTTTTTTAGTAAAACAGTGCATGGAAACACGAGTAAAATTGATATAACTTTTATTATTGTGGTTTTCCTGAACGGTGGTGTTACCTTGTTGTCGCTTTTCTGCCTCATAATACTGCCGAACTTTGATCCGATCCAATCGACTACTTATTCCTTTTCAGGTTCCCAAGATCACAACAATAACAAGCGAATTTGTGTCACGGTGTAAATAGGTAAACTTCAGATTTAAAAACCGTTACCAAATTCTATGTCCGCCAATAAAAAAATTAGTTTACAGGTTTCCATCTGAATGTCTGGCAACCCTGGTGCATGAGCGGTAGTGCTACAGTCTAACCAGCGTTAACACTCAACGATTGTACAGGTACCGGGTAGGGATACGGAAAACAGAGTAATCAAAGTAATCATTTCGTGCTTGGATCGTTACTTCGGGTATCTATGAGTAACGAGTACTCGAGTTTCGTATGATTACTCTTTCAACACCACTACCCAGTGGAGCAAACTCTGCCAACTGTCGAAATAAACTTTATTAATTCCAAGTCTTATTTTTGTTTTACTGTGCCTGCTTAGATATTGTAATACGGCCAGGAATTATTAGCGCCTGGCTATTTTAGGCCGTCAATAACTCCTTATTTTAGATCTCTCCTTATTTTTTTTTCCACGCATTCATGGTAGAAAGAAAAATATGTTATCGAATATCGATACCGTATACCGTGCAGCAGGCACGCCCATCACTACTTTGACAGATTGCAGAATGATGTCAAGGTGAAAATCGTTATGTGTTTTTGTTTTTGTCTGAAATAGGCAAGTAGGCTTTGTGTATTCATTTTTATTTTTATAGCGTTTCCAGAATTTCATATTTCGAAACGATGTCAAGGGCCGGCAGGGAAAAATCTTTCTATATCGTCGCCATCCCTATATTGTATCCCCACCAGTCACCAGTCAAAAACCTTAACCTCCAATATTTCATCACTACTAATAACTCTTTTTAGCTCTTATTTTTCAGTAGTTACTAATAATTTTAGGTCTATGTCTACAGTAATTGCATTATGCACCTCGGAGATGTAGGGATTAACATGTTTTACACATATCGGTGTTTTAGGATGGCGACGACCATACTGTTTTGATTGCTTTGAAGAAATTCATTAACCCATTAATGTATAACAAATGATTACTATTATGATGTAAAGAGAGATGAGGAATTGGTTGGAATACAGTTTATATTCTATTTTCTTGCAAATCCGCACAATTCAACAGGTATGTGTAGCTATAATGATCACATAATATACACACAGTATATTGAACTTGACAAATTTCGAGATTGCCATGAATTAACAAACGACCAAACCTGCTGCCAAATTTAACAGCTAGAAAATCGACCTATTATTTGCTGCATTCCCATTCGCTGAGGGGATAACAGATTGTTAAATGTAAACCTATAACATATATCAAAATACATGAAAGTTGTCCTGTTTTTTCTGTACAAAAGCATCATGTGGGAATCAAAAAGTGGTCTTGTTTATAATACAGTCGAATTTTCACGATTTTATTCAATATTTT